GCAGCCTTTCCCTACATCTAGGCAGTTCGGAAAGCCGCAAAACTCTAGAACAAAATTTTACCTTTTAACTCAGCACTCCTAATCACCACGATATCAACGAGCGCTTTCATTCCGAATATAATGTAACACATTATTATTTCCTTTGGTTGCAAATAATTTTTTTGCTTAACTACAGATTTTATCATTGATCGCAAAAGGATAAAACTTAGAGATGTTTGCATCTGACTCGCAATGAAAAGTCATTCCTAATTTAAACTCATTACTCAAATAGGTAGTTGTGTCGCACACTAATGTTTACTAACACACTTCCGTCCATATGCTGTGACGTTCATGGATTGACAGCAGGAATGAAGTACCAAAATAATTGTTTCCATTTATTGAACGTTTTAAATGCATGGCACAACCAAGATCTCCGCCAAAAACAAATCGTAGTTTTTGTTACGCGAGGACCTTCCAAACGAGCGTCTTTAAAAGGTATTTGAAATTCTCCATCCAAATGCTGATCCTCCTTTTCAACTGAAAAAATGAGGATCAGCAAGTCCAATAGGCTTGCTTTGTTTCTAATCGAAAGGGAAAATTAGATAACGAATGCCTTGGTGTTAGGCAGAAAGCGACTGAAGGGAATTAATAACGTGACAAAAACAGAAAATGTTTTGATAGTGCAAAAGCTTGCAAAATCCTGCTCCTCCCACTGTTTTCTGAGTCGGGCGCGAAATGGAACGTAAAAAGCTGTAAGGCTTTGTTAACTACAAAGTTGAACATGAACATCTTGGTATTCTTAAGGGAAAATTGAGTGATTTTTCTGTGTGATTGTTGGGAGCATACTTTTTACTTTTCAATAATTTAGCCGTTCTCAATTCATTCGAGTTTCTTTTATTGTAATGTTTTAAGATAAAAGCCAACAGTAAGTTCTTTCAACTTCTAACTTCTTCATATCGCTTTGTTCTTACTGCCTTTATGCGCCTGAACATCAATCTTTCTGTGATCTTATTCTAAGTGGACATTGTTAGGTAAACAGTCCCTATAGAGACCTTTTCTGGCAACTTCTCAGGGAACTTGCCAGCTGAATTTATGTAAATAAGTTCTTTTCACAAAATTGATTTTTCTCGTTGCCACTTGTTTAAACTTAACACTTACATAAATTAACATTAATTATAACTGACTTCTCACTTTAACTTGTTAAGATATATATTTTTAATTTTGAAGCTGTAAGTTCAATCTCCTTTTTCTTAATTAGTATCCATAACTTCAAGAGACATTTTCCGCTTCATTTGTGAGACTATTCAAATATTAGAGGAAGATGTTTTTCGTCTTGTCACGAGCGTGGGACAAAGAAAAATTCTGAGTCCCCATGAGGAATCGAGCCTCAGACCATCGGATTCCGCGCTCTGATGCTCAAGCACTGAACCACAGAGACTTTACGGTGAGCGAGGTCTATTACGAAGTTCATATGACACGCGTCCTCCACACTGCCAGGATCAGCAATTTCGATGGCGTCATGTTTTAAATAGAGTAAGAGAGATGGTAAGTATTGAGCTGAGTAAAGAAATGCTATCGACATTTTGTTCTCCGCGTAAGTCCAGTTCGTGCGAATGCCACAGTGATGGTTACGCCGGATACTTCTTGGAGCTTCCAGGATGTTATCAAAGTTCAAGAGAACTCAAAATTCAGTTCCACGCAGGAGGCGTGATCTGATCCCTTGGGCGCCGGCAAGAAAGGACCGCTCGGGTAACGTGAGTACCTCAAATTTCCTTTTTTCAATTTATGAAGTCCGTGAAGAAAGGAAGTTAGTCTTTCCCGCCGACGGAATTAAGACGACCAAGGTGCATAGAGAGGTGAAAACTTCTTTGCTCGAAGAAGAAAATTAGGACTTGTTGTTTGAGTTGCCATTTTATCAAAGTTCCCCGCCGCCGCCGACGCACTACACCGTTTCTAGTAAAAACATTGAATCAATTCCTTCCAAAGACCCACCACGAATTTTTACCGATACGAGTCAGAGCCAAACAGCATCCATTCAAACGAAAGTCCGTCCATTGTTTCAACCGTCCGTCTATCGTTCAGCCACTTGAAGTCCGTCCAAACCGTTAAGTTGTGCAGAGAAACGATAGCGCACGAAGTTCACTTATTTCTGATCGATCCCTCGCCGCCCCAGAGGTTAAAGAAATCCGTGATTCCAAGAATCTAAGATCACCGGAGAAAGAAAATCAAGAGCTCGTGGTTGACCTGTCCAGTTAATTAATTCACCAGCGGATCTTTACGAATTGTTGCGAAATAAAGAATGTACACAAAACCAAAACAAATATAGAAACACAAAAGCCATTTTGCGTCGAGTCAAGTTGGGCAGAGACTCTGAGGAAGAACTAAGCGGGGCAGAATCAGAAGTTAGAGAAGAATTTGTCCCGGCAACGTCATTGCAAACAAAGCGTATTCGAACGACCAGCTGATAGCGAATTCGAGCATGGCAACACTTTGAGCGACCAAGAAATAATCACTACACACGATAAGCAATGATAAATGGAGGAAGTAGTTTCAAGACTAAACCCGTATTTACAGATGTGAACGCCGAGGCCATATTCAGTTTTACTGCAACTTTAACCGATCTAATGAAGTTTTCTACAAGGAGAAGAAGGTCCTACATCATGTTACTCAATCAACTTACCGTTAATCAGAAAGATCTCCCACCCACGAAGAAGAGAGCCAGTCGGATGCTGGGGGAACTGCATCACAATTCAAAAGTCAGGAAAACGCCACAACCAACTCTTATTTACTAGAGAAGATAAAGCCGACATGAACTAGTGACCAGGCTAGAGTCACGCCAACAAATCCAAACTAGAAGCCAAGAAAGTTACGAATGTCAATCAGTTAAGTGTCCTGCTACCCCTAGTAAATGAAGCGGACACGTACCCTAGCAACCTAACCACTATAGGTAAAATAGAAGGAAAACCTGTTCATCTAATCGTGGATACTGGTGCACGCGTTTCAGCCATTAAAGAAGAAGTTTTAAAAGAAATCTATGGTGATGCTCCCTGTTCCGCAGTCCAGGCTGCTACTACAACTAATAGGAATTACGTATACCTTGCCTTTATACCTTAAGAATATTCATTTCCCTCGTGAATTCAAAGTCGTGCACATCCTTGCCTATGATGCCATCCTTGGTCGCGATTTCCTCTAAGTAAACAGAGCCATGATTAACCTCGATAACAACACCATTACTTTAAAAGAATCGGTAAATCAACAGAAAGAAGCAAGTTCAGCTTCAGTGCCTCTAATAGGAACGTTTATACCTCAAGAAAATAATACCAAAGCAGCTAAAAACGCCTCCACTAGTAAAGCTTCTTTAAAGCCCACTCCAGAAAATTTTTCTCTCTTTCCAAAGAACAAAAGTTGCACTGAGTCAGTCTTTCTTGATATCAGTGCTCATTACTGTGTCCCAGTCCGCAACAATTCATAACGACGCAAATGATAACTTCAGGTCCGTTATCCAAAAACCACTACCGTCTTTCGCACAGATGTCACAAAGAAGGTTTGGCACCAAGGTGATCTTTCTGATACTCCAGCCAAAACTGATTACAGAATGGAATCTAACAAGGGATTTGATCGGTATCAAGAAGCACCTCCAGGAATAGTAATGCCTAAGTTTCATTATGTATCCAAGAAGAGTATCTATCCTCAGACGCCTGACCAACTTTTGCAAAAGGCAGAGAGTACCACTTAGCTGTTGACCAGAAAGTAATATAGAAGATCAAGAAGATTGCTAAAATCTTATTTTAAAATTCCTCCAAGAAGTATAATGAACTCCTCGGCAAATAGAAGGTTACGCGAAGTAAGAAATACGTCTTAAGTGCAAAAGCAAAAGAAAAATATTGTTTTGACTTAAGAAAACAATACTTTATCTATGATGAGAATACCAAGTCCATTCGTCATTTTCACCCCCACGATATCTGGAAGTCTCCATTTAAGGTGGGGGGAATGTTACGAGAGAACTTAGTGATTTTCCGTGTGTTTGTTTGGAACATATTTATTACTTTTTCAATATTGTAGCCGTTCTCAATTCATTCCAGTTTCTCTCTTGTAATGTTATAAAAAAGATAAAAGCCAACAGTAAGTTCCTTTAAATTACTAGCTTGTACATACTGCTTTGTCTTCGCCGCTTTGTGCACCTGAAAATCAGTTCTTTTTTGATCTTATTCTTAGTGGACATTGTTAAGTAAACAGTTCTCATAGCGACCTTTTCTGACAACTTCTCGAGGAAGTTGCAGTTGAACTTATGTAAATTAGTTCTTTTCTTAAAATTGATTTTTCTCGTTGCCACTTGTTCAAACGTAACACCCACATCGGATAAATAATCATTAATCATAATTGACTTCTAACTTTTATTTGTTAAGATATATATTTTTAAGTTGAGAATGCAAGAAGGCATGTCGGTTGTCGACATGAGCTAAAATAAAGTTACTGTAGAAATAAACGCTGTCTAATTCTTGACGTCCGCAGCAAGTTTGCTTGAAGCAGGTCTCTGCGTACCAGGAAACCGTGATGAGTTTCCGTTCCTGCTGCAAGTGGTCTCTCCCGAGCTATTTTCCCCCATTATTGTCGAGTTCCCCGCAGAAATAACGGGTCCAGTTGGTGTGAAAAAAACCTATCGTCACAGTATAAATGTTGGCATATGTGACCAAACATTAATTTTGAAGACTTAAATGTACTTGGGGATTACCACGAGTAACACTTATTTTCTAGACCATTTAAAATCTCTGGCGAGTACTTTGTTTTTCTAGATTGCTGAAGATGACAATGATTCTTCTCAACTTCATAGAAGTTATGTTAAAGCTTAATTACCAATCCTTAAAATGGAGGTTAATCCAAGGTACATAGCAGCAGTTGTCGTGAAATGAAAAAATGCCAATTTTTTTTGTATGATCATTTCTGGGCGGCTGCTCTTGCCCTAAATTATCTCTCGTTGCAATCACAGGTAACCCTAAAGAAAAAAGGAACACAGAAGTATGATGGCAAGAAATAATTTAACAGAAGGTAGAGTACAAATGGAAATGTATCAAGAACTGTTATGTTCTCCCTCTTTGCCAGGCGGATTACAACAGCAATCAATTTATCTCGCAGTGGTAAATGTAATCTTCTCTCTCACTGCAATTCTTGGAAATTTTCTAATCCTTGTTGCCCTTCGTAAACAATCTTCCCTCCATCCGCCATCCAAACTTTTGTATCGTTGTCTGGCAACAACTGATCTGCTGGTTGGTCTCGTTAGTCAGCCTCTCTATGCTATTTATTGGATATCCGTAGCTAACGAACACTGGAATCTTTGTCGATACACAAGGGACGCCGCCTACATGACCGGCAATGCATTATGTGGCGTATCTTTGGGGACAATGACGGCCATAACCGTTGACAGACTTCTCGCCTTGTTGTTGGGGCTGAGATACAAACAAACTGTTACTTTGAAGCGCACAAATATTATTTTAGCTGCCAATTGGGTTTTATCTGGTGGTTCTGCTTTATGCTACATTTTAGATTACCGCATAACCCTATGGTGTGGGTATATCTGTATTCCATCTGGTTTAGTGATCTCATTCATCTCTTACACAAAGATATTTGGCACCCTCATTCATCATCAGGCACAAGTGCAAGTTCATGTTCAATTACAGTCGACCCAACCAAATTCACTGAACATTTTGCAATACAGAAAAGCGGTGTACAGTGCACTTTGGGTGCAGTTTGCATTAGTTCTTTGTTATATACCATTTATCGTAGTTGAAATCGTGATTGTGGAGGCTAATAAAAGAACATTTTCATCACATTTACTCGTCACCAGAGGAATAGCAGCAACCTTAATTTTCTTCAACTCCACGTTAAACCCATTCCTTTACTGCTGGAAGATTAGTGAAGTGAGACAAGCAGTGAAGCAGACAATCAGACAAGCACTTTGCTGTCCATGGAGTTAGATCTGTCTCGATTGAGGTACTATTTAATTTGTTATTTTAAAGCTAAGCTGACTTCACGGTTTCTACAAGAAAACGCTTGTTGGTCTCTTTATAAGATAGTAATGAATATGATAGTTAACCACTTTGTTACTCGAGCTTTTTTTTAAATTCTCTATTTCCAATTGAGTAAATAAAACGGGAAAGAGTCAAAACAAACAGCAATTATATCTTTAGGAAACGTTTTTGCATGCCACAGTGCATGTCACATGTGAGAAAAACATGTAATTTAGCCGCGCATTAATGTTTAATAAGAGACTGCAGCCCATATTCTGTGACATTTGAGGAAAAGAGAAAGAAAGAAATATCATAGAATTAGTAAATGCCAAGTACCGTTTTCCGTCTTTTTAGTGATATAAATGCAAGACACAACCATGAACTCCTGGAAAAAAATGCAAAATTTTTTTGCGCAAGAAACTTTCAAGCGTGTATTTCTTACAGTTATTCGGAAGGCTGAATAAAAATGTTGTTATAAGAGATGAAGTCTTATGGGTTGTTGAACGGGTTTTGCTAGATCTTAACTTTCCACCGAATACATCCAGCCGCAGTGAGGAAATTTTCCTGCTTAGACTTTAATATTGGAATTTATGACTGTCCTTGTCAAAAAAGAGATTCTTAATTGCACAAGTCCCTCGCAACAAAAAGAAGTTGATTTGTTATTATTAGCCAGACATCGAGAAAAACTGATATCACAGGGTCCAATAGGCCAAGAATTGCTTCTGATAAAAACGAAAAATATTAATGATGAAGAGGGCGCATGAAGGAAATAAAAACAAAAAGCACAAAAGGGCTTGGTGGCGTAGTATCTTCCTTCTAGCACATTCTCGTTCATAGCTTATTAAGTAACTATTCACCAAAGTGGAGGTGAATAAATAAACTATGACCTTCATCTAGCGCGAAAATACCGACGGATATTTGTCTATCTGTTTCGAGGAGCGATCATTTTTCCGAGAGCGACGCTCAAGGAAAACTGTGAGCCTCGAGAAACAGATGTTAGACGAGAATATGTAATTTCGTACCAAATGAAGGCCATTGTGTTTATTTCCTTCTAACAATTGTTTATTTTTTTAATGCGCAGGATTGCTGCGTGTTCTCTGGCACAACTTTATTCAACAAATTAACATGTCCCTTCTTCTGCGAAAGTAGCTAAACGCTCTTTTATCTTGAATTCAATGTTAAACGAACGCTTTTATTCTTGAGGACTTACGGCTACAAAATTAGGGAATATCGCTTGGGACAAGTATGTATATATATTACCATAACATATTTTGGCATCTGTAAATTTTCATAGTTTTATCTATTTGAATTGCCACGAGTTTGTTTTTTTCGGAAGCCGATTAAGATCTTTGGCGAGCACTTTTTTTATTTTAACTTCCTGAAAGTAATGTTACTCCTCGTTTTACTTTCCTAGAAATAAGAAAGTGGAGGATAAAATTGAACTTCAAAGTGTAGCAAAGGAGAGCTGTTCAAGTTACTTGTTTATGGACGGTAAATTATTTTCAATTTTTAAATCATACACAAATAAAACGCTTGACGTTAACACCCTATTGGCATAAGAGCCGATCACAACGCCAGTTAAGCCCTTGAATTTGTTTTTTTTTCAAAAAATTCCCTTCATACATACGAAAATTTAAATATGCTTTATCACCTGTAAGCAATTTTTAGGAGAAAGCATGAATTAAAATTGACTATTATCGGATCTTATTGAGTTTTCCTGAAAATCAATCGTTTCTCCGATATCAAATGTAACACATCATCATATTTCTTTGAATAGTTTTAAATTTTTTCCTTAACAGTGAAATGGAAATACCAGATGTTTCCGTTTGACTCGTAATGAAAATTTGTTCCTAAATTAAACTTCACCAACTACACAAATACGTAGTTGTGTCGCACACAAATATTTATTCACAGACTTCCTTTCATCTTGAAATAACAAAACAGTTGTTTCAATTTATTTAACGTTTTAAATGCAAGGCACAACCCTAGATTTCCTGCCAAAAACAAATTGAAGTATTTGTTACTCGAGGACCTTTCGAGTGAGCGTCTACAAAAGGTAAATGAAAGTCTCTATCCAAATGCTGTTGAAGAAGTTGAGGTGTAATAAGTTGTTTAACGATTTAAATTAGTTCTTAACCATCCATCGGTTCATTTCTGACCGCGGTTTTATAAATTGTTTTTTTCATGCCTAAGTATTGAAATATAACTGTCCCTATCAAAAAGGATCCTCGATCGCTCAAGTGATTCGCGACAAGAAGAATCTAATCACCTGCCGTACACAGGACAGCAACCATAAGACTTCATTTCATTTTTAACAGGAAAAGATGAGGATCACAGAGTTCAAAGGCTTACTTTTCTTTTAAAATTGATACAGTTGACAACGATTCTTCTCAAATTCAGAGAAAATTATGTTAAAGATAAAACCAATCCTGGTAGCGAAAGTTTATCCGAGTTACGGGGAATAACTTGTCTTGCTATGAAAAAATGCCTATTACAAATGCTTTATGCTTTTCTCATTTTTCCAATTTACACCCGAGGCACATACAAAAGAAAACTTTTTGACTTAGCAGCCGATGTTTAAGCATAGTTTAAAGGACGGTCTCCACAAGAAGTTTTATGTGATCATTTCTGGGCGGCTACTGTTACGATGAATTATCTCTCGTTGAAATCACAGGTAACCCTAAGGAAAAAGGGAAAGGAACACAGAAGTAGGATGGCAAGAAATAATTTAACAGGAAGTGAAGTACAAATGAAATCACATAAAGAACTGTTATCTTCCCCCTCTTCTTCCCCCTCTTCTCAGCTGTAAAAATTGCATGTTTCTAACTTCAACCCCAGTATCTGATGATAAAATGTCACAAGAAGAACAGGAAAGTTTAAAATCAAGTAAACTCTAGCGACGAGAGAGATTTCCTTCGATAATTTGGCTTCTCTTTGTCTTTTTAGATTAATACTAAGAAGCCTGAAGTTATGCTTAAAGTTGTCTGCGATATCGTCGCATAGTGAATGGTATTCCAATCTGAGTTGCTGACGAAAAAAAGGGACAAATCCTGCATAGAATGAGTTGAGTAACTCTTACTTCTTGATTAATTTTAACCCATCGCAGAGCACTTAGTAAAATGTTCACCGTCCATATCCCGATGACGTATTCCAAGATACGCTTTCCAGAGAAAAATGTAGTGTATATGCTAGGGAATCGAACTGCCACAAATCGCTCAAAGCTGACTGCGGTTAGTGTCACACAAGACACTCCAAAACAAATGTAAAAAGCCACAATATAGAGAACCATTCCAAGAGCCTGTAGCTGATATATCCTGGTTGGGTTGTTAAGCCGACTAAAACATCAGACAGCGCTAAAGAGGCAATTAATAGATTGGAAGTAGATTGAAGACGACTGCAGTTAATGATTGCCACAAGGATCAGTACATTCGCGATAATGGTATTTGGAGCAACTAGGATATTGAAGACAGTCGTTATGAGATTCGTCGTAAAACGCTCTGAAGCTGTTTGAAAAACTGGATCCGGAAGATTAAAACAGTGCGAATTTCTCACAGTTGTGTTCAGATTCATTTAGTACAATATGTAAGCTGCGGATACCTCACAATCTTTCCTAAGATATCTCAATGGGTTTCAACTTCAACGTGCAATTTTTAGTTATCAGCCTAAAAGTTGATTTTAACCATCTACCCGTTTAATAAAGCGGAAAATAGGTAGTCTAATATCGCATTATTATAATGGCACGTGAGTGCAATACTAAAATTATGTCTTCGCCATGCAGTAAGAACCTTAAATGTCAATCAAAAAAGTATATATTTTGAAACTGAAATTCAAGGTTCATAGCATCAAGTCTGTTTATATTCTCATGTCAGGAAGCAAATTGTAATTTGAGTTTTCTTAACTATTTTCCTTCTTAATCTAATGATCAATGTCTCGGCCGTTGACACCAACAATCTACATAATGTGTTCGGACAATTCCATTAACTTTCCTCAATTCTCATACTTGCTGTGCTTAAGTTTTGTGTAGGTAAATGTCTTGCTGAGCACGGTGCGATATTTGAAAAAAAAAACGCCCCATCGAAACTTAACAGGAAAAACTCAAGCAGCTGTCTTGAGGGCATGTTTCAACAATTAATGCATACGTGGTAAGGCTTCCACTGAGATTAGAGATAAAGTAAAACTGAGCCCGGCAGGTGTGATTTAGCGATTTGGTATGGCTGCCATCATATCCAGGCAGCAAATCAACAAAGCTTGATGGTAATTACTTTGTGCAAGTAGTTACTTTGTGCAAGTAATTACTTTGTGCAAGTAATTACTTTGTGCAAGTAATTACTTTGTGCAAGTGATTACTTTGTGCAAGTAATTATTGAACAAAGATAAAGAGAATGAAAAAACGAAATATCGTAACTTATACACCGATGCAGATTTTAGCTTCTGAAGAAAATGTTAAACAGCGTTATCCGTGAGTGGCAAATGAAGATTCTGACAGCAATGCTCGGCGAGTTATGAAGAGTTGACATTTTGCGCATTTGCCCGTCGCAAAGACAAAGAGAAAAAAATAGAGAAAAGTTCTTATTTTCTAACTAAAATATAACGCTGCTTAACAGGTAGGTTTAAAACTTGATTTATTATCGACTAAGAGTTGGTAAAGAAAAAAAAAAGATACGTCTACACTTTAACATCAACACGATTATCTGCGTGGATTTATTTTTCTAATTAAGTTTTATAGTGTTCCCGGCATTAGATCTTGTATCGGCCGCTGATCTATAGCTGACTTGTTGCACAAAAGTGGTGTTTGGATGAATAAGACGGTTTAATCTATGCTTTAATGTAACTCGAAACCTTCTGTCTCGAAATGCATAAAGAAGAGGATTTAAAAAGGAGTTGATGCTAAAACAAACAGTTGTTAATGAACCCACCAAAATTTCTCTGGTCGTTAAAGAAACTTTGCTGAAAGTTTGAGTCATCAACCATAATACTCCTATAAACACAGGAACAAGAAAAAACATCAAATTGCTTGTGACCAAGATGGAAATCTTTTTGGCCAGTTTTCCATCTCGCTTTATACCCATTTGATTTCCTGAGTTCCTCACATGGACAAAAATATGGAGATACATGGGAATAGTGATGATGTACAACAAAATTCCAATTGCGACGACACTGGCGCTGTACGCAAACGAATGAGGGATTCCCTTCGCAGGCTGGATCGGAAGGCAGAAGGTAGTCGTAGTGTATGTTCCCACACCGAAGAATGGAAGGGATGCCATGAATACAGCTATTGCCCACGAGGCAACCATGCAATAGAGGCATGCCATTGCTGTGACAGAGATACTTGGTCTCATGGAGAAGATAATTGCTATGTATCGTTCAGTAGTCAACAGCAATGAAGAAAGAGCTGCTGCAAATTGCCCGACAACCCACACAAAACTAATAGCTGGACACAAAGAGCTCATCACGCTAACGAAGGCTTGATAAGTCATAGCGTGACGTGATGACGTGATAGCAAGGGTGTAAACTCCTAGGAAAAAATCACTCAAGGCCAAATTTGCAACTAATAACATACAAGGTAGTTTTCTGAGTGTTTTTGTGGTAGCCATTGTAAAAAACACTGTCAAGTTGAAGATTATTATTAATGGAGTTAACAGGTATTCAATATATAGAGCTTCATTGGCACTGTCCCAGCATCGATGCATTGGGATGACTGTCACTTCAGAGGTGAAGCATTTTTCATCGAAAGCAATTACAAATCCATACTTAGCAAATAAGCGAGATATTGATTCGACAAGGTAGCGTGAACCTCTTCAGCGTGACTTTGGGTAAATGTCATACACCCCTTTCTTGAAAAGCGTCACGTTTGAGTGAGTTTGGTTCTTTATAAGTGTCTTGTTGTTGCAAGCACTGCTCCAAGTAACACCAGAGATGCGCTGAAGGCTTGACGCTTTGAGAACGTGTGAAGGAGGAACAAAGGTATTCTCAGTCACTAATAAAATTGCTTCGAGAGAAGGTAGCTCGCGGGAAATATTCCCACTCCAGGTTTTCAAGTTTTTGAATTTGAGTTCCCTTTGAGAAAAGCAAATTGGTAATTAATCACGAGGTTGCATTACAGTTCACACGGCATCCCATGTAAATATTAATCGTTAATACATATACCACATCTTTGAGATGTGCTTTTTGCGGATGGGTTAATTCGGAGGTGATTAGCAAGCAAACTTCTTCGAGCGGCCGAAGAGACGAATCACGCGTCAAGGGTTTAATTTGCGATCATTTTTCGGTATATTGAAATAAACTACATTGATTCTATGGTTTCTACATTTGTGGTAAATACTACAACAATTATTCAATAGTCTTGATGTAAGTGAAAATTGTGGATATTGACCTTGCTGCTTGACAGCTTAGTAGATATCCACTTCGATGAATAATCGGTAAAAACATATTATGTCGGTTAAATAGATATAATGTATGTACCTAATAGGTTCACCATGGTCTTTGTTGCTGTTGCCGTCGTTTTTCGAACAAAATTCGAAATTATATCCAAAGGTATATACCAAGGCTATCTTTTTTAGCGAAAAAAGCTTACTTAGAGGTGAACAACTTCACGAAACAACTTCGAGCTAAGTTTTTAACTTGGTAATGTATATATGTGACAGGTGTCAATATCGATGGTAACGAAACTGTTGAACCCAATCGAGCTTCATAATGGACAATCTTTCACCACATTAAAGTTCACAAGGCAACCAGGCGGACAATCAGACATGGTTTGATCCTACTTTGGTGAAAGATTTAATGAATGTAATCGAGAAGTTACAATTCGTAGACTCAGCGTTTCGACACTCATGTCTAGTGCCTTCTTCAGGGGTGATCTAATCGCTGCAAGAAGAGGTCTTTTTATATTCTCACTAATTAGTTGCCCTTTTTTCGGACGAGTTTAAATAGGCATCAGGAAGTAAGCCGCCATCATCGCGATTTTAAGGAGCGCGGACAGGCTTCCAAATAAAGACTCTATTGGTAATGTCGATTAGTAATGATTTATCTATTATCACCACTAATCGACGCTACCAATTAGTGAGAATATAAAAGGTCCTCTTCGTTGTTGCAGCGATTAGATCACCCCTAATGAGGGTATTAGACAGGAGTGTCGAAACGTTGGTTCTATGAATTGTAACTTCTCGGTTACATAAATTAAATCTTTAAACCAGAGTAGCTTCGAACCGTGTCTTACATCATATTGTTAGACCATGTTGCTGTGCTCCTAAGATACGTTGATTTAACAAACTTTAAAGGAAAACGAGTATTCGTTGGACATAAAAATTAGCTTGAAGGCAAGGGAGGACAAAACGAATAAACCAGAAAGTTATATTTGATCACAAGTTACTAAAATACTTACAGGTATTTCAAATTGATAAACTTGGCAAATGTGCCTTCTGGTACATTGGTAGCGTTATCATCTACGACAGAACTAAAAAAGAACAACCTTTGGTCAAAGTGATATAGTTTGTTAAAAGACTCGAATAAACCTCACTTCTACTTGAGCCTAATAACTATGTCGTCATTAGGCATTTTTCTATTATTATTTTTGGTTCTATATTTTAGTGAGTACCGCCGTTGTTCTTGGACGACGAATGTCCGTGTACCAGTATCAAGTTTGCTTTTTGTTTCCACCAAACAGAGACTAGTTTTAATTGGGCTTCAGGTAACCCAGCACAGAACAATTGAGTCGTTCTTGTTGCAAAGTGCCCAACCGAAGAATTGAGCAGATTTAACTCGATAATGCTGCAGGAGAGTGAAAGTCTTTCAGAATTTTTCATGCTGCAGGAGAGTGACTCACTAAGTTTTTAGTTTTTTCAGCATTAGCAATGATCACTGACATAAAAATATCTCGAATCTTTCCTCTTCAATTCAGTGGGGAGACCAAGTTCTTCACTGACGTACTTAGGAACATTTTCAAAGACGATTTCAAGCTATAACAAAGAAGAAGGAAACAGAAGAAGAAGAAAGAATGTAAAATAATGAGTCATAGCTATTTACGTACAGAGCTACGATTTCCTCTGGCTTCTTAATGGAATGGTTTAAGTCGTACATTACGTCGTCTGTATAGCAAATGACCGTCACGTTATAACTTGGATCAGATGAACAACGACAGACTGGCGTGACACACATCTCTGTGACAGATGTTGTGAAAGAAGGGGACAAAAAGATGGCCACAAACAGAAGTGCGAAGATTTGCTTCACCATGCACCTGTTGGGAGGGAAACAAGTTGACGCAAATAGCCTTTTCAGGAAACATGAAAAGAAATCAGATCTTCGACACCTTAAAGAGACCTCAAAGGGGTCTTCACTGACCCTTTAAACATCTAGATGGCGATAACTTTGTCTAAATGGTTTGGAGTGACCAGGAGCATTGACATTTTTTCTTTTATATGACCAGTGCGAATCTAGAAAATCTCCCACCCTCCCTCTCTCCCATGTGGAATTACAAGTTTTTCCCTTTGGAAACTGGGTTCCAATACTAGTCTATCCTTTTATACTTCTTATTGGGGCGAGATAAGGTGTAATAAAGGCATATAAGCAAGCACATTCTAATTTTTCTCAACATACTTAACGTTTTGATAAGATGTCAGTAACAAGTAGGGAGATGCGTGGCGTAAGGTTTAGGGCACTCCATACTCTAAATGGGAAAGGATTAGTTGGAGCGATGGCGAGGTTGCTGTGTTGTGTTCTTTACAAGGAATTTCCCTCTAAAATTGCCCATCCGCAAATGAATATAAACATGCATCAGCAAACACGTAGAGGGAACCTGATAAAATACGTAGAGGGGTGGCGAGGGATATTATACCTGTAATAGATCATCGTTCTATTCAGAGCAGGAAATGTTTTTCGGAACGCAATTTGGAAACTAACTCTTTTTGCATTTCATGAGGTCTCAAATTGACACTAAAGTTATGGGACACTTTCTCAAGGTCTGATCATAGAAGATACTATCTATTTGTTTAAAAATATGCTTTACAAACCTGTTTGTATGATTCCCAAACGATTCCAATTCAGTTAAGCAATATTCGACAACAGTTAGCACACAAGTATAGGAATGTTACGAACGGGGTTGAATTCCAGGGCGTATCATGACCACACGCCTGTAAAAGAAGCAGAGGTGAATGTTCTATAAGTTTCAGCCATGATTAACCTCATTGTAAATATTCATAGATATTTGGTTCAAATTTCACAAATATGTGATACAACGAGCACTAGCTAACTATTCGTAAATACTGATTATCCACAGACAACACCTTCCACAGACATCCATCTTTCCCTCTGCGGCAACAAGAAGGCAACCCAATGCAAGTAAATAAAGATTTGTAACTGTGGTTCATCTGCCGATGTGAATTTGTCTTTCCGTATTTTTTTTCTCCGGCTAGTGGTTGGTTGTCTCTTTTACCCTATTTGTCTGTTTATCCGTCCGGCTTACCCTCTCTTTGCCTGTCTGAAGGGATTACGTTTCTAAAGAAGCTATAGTACTTCGTCGGTAGGGGGATATAACATAATAATTTGGTTTTGTCAAAATAGTTGATTTTTAAAAAGTTTCTAAAGCTGAAGTTTCGAGCATTAGCCTGTCGCCATTCGCCCTGACGAAAGGCTAACGTTCGAAACGTCAGCTCTAGTAATTCTTTACGGCGGCCAATTTACATTATCAATTCATTTTCTTGTTTAACAAAGTTCTGGCGTCTCTTCTTGTCGTCAGGGATGACCAGGCTTGATGACTAAAACAAAATCATGTTAGCTATGGGAAAATTTAAATGTCGTGTTGTGTGATAGTGAAACCGATCTTTATCGCCTTCACTTGTATCCTATGCATGGAAAGTTCAGCTTTTCAGTTGTCTTTTTCTGATTTACTTTCAGCGAAAATCTGTTTGAATTAATATGTTTTGCTATTGTGAACAGGGTATTAGTTTCCTTGTTTGGGTACTGAGATCATCTGCGTAAGGCCAGTTCATAGAATGATCTTCGGCTAAAAGGAAGGTCTTCGGTGTCAGGGACTTAGGTTTTTCGGTACAATGAGTAGAATAATCAGCAGAGTCAATGGCTATCACACTATAAAATCTTATTCGCATGGAGAAGTGAGACCATACACTCTGACCTCGCGCCAAATACCCTTCACCCTCTCCCCCCTCCCCCCTCCCCTATGTCGATAGGTATTTATAAAATAGCAGCTGAGTTTTAAAATATATTATCTTTAAACACAAGACAGGATTATATACATAAGTAGAGGGTGTGCTGGACATTTAAAAAAACGCTTCTATAACAGAACAAGAAACTCACAATTAATCGAAACACGCAGCATATTCCTTTATTTGTGTGTTACTTAAAGTTTAACTTTAAAATCTCTACTCGCAACAGAAAACGCAAGAGAGCCGTGCGGCCGACTGCGGGTATTACGGCTTTTTCCAGACCAGCACGCGTTAACTTTTTTGGACACACGTTAGCTTCCATTGTGGCTTTCTATAGGATTGCAATATGCCTTTCAAGGGATATGATTATATTTCCATTACAACTGAACAAGTCAGGCCCCCAATCAACGAAAAACTAAGAAAAAAACTTCCGTCTGACTAGAAACCCCAAGCACTGATGAAGTATCTATCAAACTGTTGAGCCAGTTTATAAGCAAATACAACTCTTGTCTTTGGTTTAAGAATTGGAGAAA